CTGCCAGAGCACCAGCAAACCAAGATGATAAAACAGTGTAAAGTCAAAAATGATTAGAGCATCCGTGCACCACTCAGACCAAAAACAAACATAAAAGCACATCCAGACACAGGCAAGATGCCTTCTGGGTTCTCGTATAGGGGGAAGCTGGAGGACATTAACTCAGAGACGGGCCCCAGCTTTCAGACCTTCAGGCCGCCCTGCTCCCACCTCCCTGACCACCCTGGGGCGAGCATTCCCCTTCCTCTACAGGGACACTCAGGGTCCTGGCATCAGACATCCACTCCCTTCTCCTTTCTTTTCTTTCAAAATGGCAGACACTTTCCACAACAGGTGGTGATGAGTGAATTGGAAAAAATTAGCTGAAACATTAAATCCAGGGCAGAATTTTCATATTCTGGTTGAAAACCCACTGGTGGGTCGGAGAATCTGTTTAATGGGGTGTGACCCGCTTGCATACATGAGCTGTCTTCTCCCCTTCAGTTACACACGTGTGTGTGAGTCAGCGCAGAGCTGTAATGTGAAACTTTCTTCTTCCTGAGCATGAGGAAGACAGTTTGAAAAGCCCTAAGGTAAAAAAGTGTCTTAACCGGGTTCAACGGCATGGAATTCTGAGACTTTGTCGAAAGTGACCCCAGGGGAGGAAGGCATGTCGGGGGCCATACCCCTGGACTGGGGGCTGGCCGGGGTCCCCAGCCTTTCCTGAGAGGCGGCTGCTCCCCCACCAGCTGTCCCAACTCAGTCACTGTGGGGATTTTCATGGTGCGGAAGCTGTGGCCATTGGCAGATTTCTGTTTTTTTTCCAAAATGACACCAGGGCACTTTTACGGGGAGCTTGTGCCTCTTTCTCCCCTGATTCCTTAAACTGCAGTAGAGACAGCTTGGTCCTGAGAATAACCTTTGCTTCTGCTACCTTGCTGGGTCTGGGGTTGGGGAGGTCAGAGGAATAAAACGCTGCATCATGATCATCTCTGACCACAGATCTAGAGAGGACCTGCCCCAGGGACACCTGAAGACACCAATATGTGTGTGATTATTTCTCTTCTATGATTTTGCATTTTTCCCAGTAGGAGCGGCAAACCCTCACACCCATTTGCAGTCTCAGTCCATCTTTCCTGACTAAACAGTAACTAACCATGACCTGGCAGACCGGAAGCCCTCACCAGCCCGCACCTATGCTCACCCCCTCTCTGTGCCACGTCCGGGAGCACACACTTTCTGGCACCTTCTAAGACCTGTTCACCTTGGACCAGAGTGTGAATTCCTGGGGCAGCCTAGGCCGTGGACAGGATGACCCTCCCAGAGCAGTCGGCCACATCCCTCACCCCCACCCGGCCCTCGGGGACAGTCCACACGGTGGAGGACACCCGGGCAGCTCCAGCCCTTCCTCGATGGACAGATAGAGGCCTGAGAGGCATGTGTTAGCAGGATTTGGGATGAGCTCAAACGATGTGCTTTTCTTTCAGCTCTCGAGTCAGTCGTAAAATCCCCGACTGTGCAGACTGCCTGGTGTTGGGACACTTTGGCTGGCAGTTTCCCTGCAGCCTGCATGGGACCCGTCAGGCTGTGGATGAGAATTTCCAGAACATGGCTGTTAGAAAACCGTTCCAGCTGCCGGCACGCTGCATTCAGCGATGTTCAGTAACTTTTATTTCCCCCTGCAAAGTAATGATTTTCTCTGCAGCTTGTTCAATAATGTATAGACTGCAATACCTTCACGGGAAGAAAAGAACAAAGAAGGAGTGGAAATTGCTGTCAGAGGGAAAAAAAAAAGAAAAGCAGGGTGCTGTTTTGTGTGGCACCTGCTCGGGCGTGGTCAGGACTAACTTCTGAAGGTCAGGCTCTGAGGGCCCCTCGGTTTCCTTAAATCTCTGATCCTAAAGTTGTGGTAATTAGGATGGAGAAAACATTTCAGAGGTGGCACTGGGCTGCTGCCGTGGGGAGTGACCACCCAGGGGACCCTGGGGGTGGGGGCAGAGAGCCTCCCCCAAACCCATGCACCCCCCCCCCACCTCCCCAGCAGCTCGAGTGTCACCACCCCACCTGGTCCTGGGCAGGGGCTTCCGCACAACTGCCTGCCCAGCCATCCCGGCCCATCAGGAACTGAGCCCAGGCACCCAGCTGCCTGGGCAGGACCGGGTGGGCAGCCGAGGGAGGAGGTGGGCGAGCTCCTGGCCGGGCCACCCCGACAGCCATGCTACAGCCCAGCCACCCGCTGCGCTGCGCTGCGCAGCAGGCTTTATCTGCATTGAGTGACCATAATAAAAAAATTACATGCGCTCCGTCCGGAGTGGTGTTTCCAACCCCGGGAGCAGACAGCATCTTTTAAGGGGCGAGCACCTGAGCTGGATTTAAAGGTGAATTAGACATTTCAGCCCTTGTCACGGTTTTCTGGTGTCGAGCTACTGGCTCTCTGCACCTGGGTTACACTGTCACTGATGATTATAAGCACAGGTTCACTTTCTTGCATAAAATTACACACATTAAAGAGTGAGTTCCAGTAATAGGTTGAATATGTCCTACATTATTAATGTCGGTGATTTTAAAGTCAAAATCTCTTCTAGTCTCCTTTTAAGATGAAGGGATGTTCGAACAGACAACTTGAAAATATGCTCTGTCATCTTCCAGCTGGAATTCTGCAGATTTAAAATAAAACATCAACCTGATTTGACATAGCTCTGAATACACTCCAGCCCGTCCATTTAGACACAGGACACCTGAGTTTTAGGAGCTCTGTGGCAAACTCACTTTATTTTTGTTACTAATCAGATTTGTCACATAAACCAGATTTAATCAGAAAATTTCCTTATACCTGAAATGTATAATTTATAGTAAGTTAAGAAAACGGGTTATTAATCTGTGGGGCTTTTCCCTCATGAGGGTTAGGAAAGTCAACCAAAAATTACAAAAGGTTTTTTTATCATTAAATGCCAAGGAGACCTGACAAGATCTGACTCAGGCACCAAGTGACTGAAGTGACTTTTCACAGACGAGGACGTGTTTAATGCTTGGCTTCCAACAGCTTTTCTTGTTACTACCTGTGCATTTAATTTGTGTCTTGTTTTTTAGACTCGCTCCCACTACTCAGAGAATGTCAAGTGCCAGAAATTATAATCAAGTATTTGAACAAAGAGGAAAAAAACCTCAAATTTACTGGACTAAAGGATGTTTTGAAGGGTGACCGTTTGGGATTGATGCAGTAGTTCGCTACTGTTTTAACCTGTTCAGTTCCCTTCACCCCCATCTCTTATTCAATGAAACGCCTCTCTTCTGGGTGACTCAGACCAGGACTGCCCAGGACGACACCCCAGTCGGGCGCGTCTGTGTGACCAGGGAAGGTCGGGGTGGGCAGGGTGGAGGCGCAGAGGCACAGACACAGAACCCAGACAGCGTGAGCTGGCGGAATCCAACCAACCTTCCCAGTGACGGGAGAGAACCCCCCCCTTCCATTTCCAACTTCTTTCTTTCTTTATCGCTTTAGCTACTTTTGAATTGATTTCTGTCACTTCAATTAGGAGCTCTGGAAAACTTCAAGGAAAAAAATAACATTTTTTCAAGAGGCTATCAGCATAAGTGCACGTTCTTAGTGCACACCCCTCGCCCTGTGATGAGCTGCTGTATCGTGCGCTGAATGGAACCCCAAGTTCAGGGAGCAGTGGCCCAGGACGGGGGGAGGGGGAAGGAGACCTGTAGGAGGGACGGGAGCCACCATCCCCGAGGCAAACCCACCCTTATGGGGTCGGGCTGCCAGCAGAAGGAGGGACAAAGGGGCTATTCACCATCCGCGTGCCCAGATGGTCCCTTTCCCAGCAGGCGGACGTGCCAGGAGCCAGCGCAGAGGGAGCGGTGTCAGGGGCAAAGGCCTCCAGTCACACGGGTCCTCGTGTCCAGGGCCCAGAACCAGAATTTCCACCCTGGTCCTAAGAAAGCCTGTTGCCTTGTGAACAGGCAGGCAAGTGGCCTGACCGAATGTTCAAGCCTGAAAAACACTGGTTGAGAAGTGCAGGACTTTCTACCAAATGTGAGAGTCAAACGGTATCGCAGATGACGAGGAAAAGAATTTAAAAACAAAATTTAAATTAAAAAACGTAATTAAAAATATATATTCAGCATCTCTCAACAGGTATACCTGACCCACGAGAACGAGCACCTGAGTCTGCAGACAGGTGCACGCAACGGGGAGAGGATTCCACGTGACGTGGCAGCATCACTGGGCGTCTTGGGAGACTGCCCCTCAGGGCACAGTGGGCCTTCATGTAGGCCCGTCCTCCAAGGAGGGACAGGGAGGCTCCTGGGACCACACGCTGCTTGGACAAGGCAAACGCTGGTTACTGAGGGGCCAGGTCCCCGCTGGCTCCAGGAGGGGGTCTGGGTGTAGCCCGGCTCGGCCTCCAGGCCCTCGTCCACCGACGGCTTGCATGGACGGCGCTCAGCCTGGGCTCAGAGGCCGGCTCCCGGCTCTGCTGGCAAGCACCTTGCCACTATGGACGAGTAACTCCACTCGCCTGATTTTCATAGAAAAGCTTTGCACGGGGTTAACTCCAGGGCCCTTTCCAGGATTCCAGAATTCTCCAGAGAGCCCAAACTGATGAGTGAAGAGGACTGTTTCAACCTCACGTGCCAGGCTGTGGGAAAGCAAACACAGGAGAACCGAGCGGTCCTCTGGGTCCTACGGCCACTCCTGTCGCCAGCGCTTGGCTGAGCACACGGGGTGGACCGCACAGCTTCAGTCACCTTAGATCCGCGCGCAAGGCCCCCTCCCACCTCCCTGCCGACTGGAGCTCCACTCTGAAAGCCCGCCAGTAAATTTCCCGAGGCAGACACTCAATTGCTTTGCTTCTTGAAAAACCCAAACTACAAAATCAATAGAGATTCCCTGCCAACAGCCACCCCAGGACGGCTGGCTTCCACAAGGAAACACAGGCAGAGCCCCGGCCCGAAGCCCATGGCGAGCTGCCCTCCAGGCGGCTCCCAGCTGTGAGGACCACTGGGGACAAGCGGATGCTCACAGAATTCATTTGTTCAGAAGCAGAGAGAGGAAGTTCAGAGAAAGTGATGGCGGCCTGGAGGGGCTGGTCAGGGGACAGACGTCTAGACAGAGGTGATGCTCTGCTGGGTGACGGGCCTGCCCGAAGTCGCCGCCATCCCCCTGTGTCAGGCCGAAGCCCTCCAGACGCCCGCCTGCCCTCCCCTCCTGTCCAGGGAGCAGCGGTGAGTGCCAGGCAAGGGGGCTCGGGAGACAGGGTGCCTGCAACAGCCTTGCAGCAACAAGGGGGGTCTGCCCTCCACAAACACCCCCTGCAGCCTGCACCTGCCCCCGGGGGACAGACAGGAAAGTATACTAGAAAGAAGGAACATTTGGGGCACACGGATCGGGTCTAAAAATGAGAGCACGCCATATGGGGACAGGCAGCTAGAAACAGCAAGAAGATTTTACTTAATTCCTAGGTATTTTTAGTTCACACTTCTCTGGTCTAAAACTGAAGGCTCCCTTTTGAGTAACTTTAGTCAGAAAAGGGTGTTCTCTGTGTTCTTTAGAAAACTGAAGTTATGATAATTTTAACAAGAGGCAACCCAGGTGCCAGCTGCCGGGCAAGAAACTGGGAAACACTTCACGTGATGCTCCCATCCGTCCTCGGGCACCAGGGGCCCCGGGACGTGCAGTCTGCTGCCCCCAGCCTTCTCGAGGGTCCGGACCCTCCTCCTTTCCCACCGCCTCTCCTGGCTCTTCTCCCGTGAGCGTTCTTTTGAACAATCTGTCTCTATTTTCTCTCTAATTATCCTCCCACTCATCTGTTGTGAATATGTTTTGCATTTTTTTGTTCTGAATACTTGGAAGCTTACAATATACAAAAACACATCCAAGTTTATTCTGGGGGGCTGGCACCACGATTACTGGAGACGGTTCTTTATTCTGTGGGCCTTGTGTTCGGCAGGTCATTCATATGCACTGTGAGCGACCTCGCCGGGCGGGATTCTGGAGAGTTCTAAGTCGTGGTACATTACGTGCAATTTGTGTAATTAGGGTTTGGACAGTGGTAGACGGCACAGCAGAGACTTGGGGGTAGACCTCGAGTGTTAACCCCAGAGCGCCCGCTGCAATACAGGGAAGAGGTGCTAATTTGCTGGAGAAGCTGAACCTTTAAAATCAAACTGAGATGAAAAAAATTACCAAAAAAAGATCAGCTTCTCTTCCCTCGTTTACAGAAAATACAGAAGCACCGAGCATCGGACCACTGATGCGCCCGGAGGCAAGGACCGCGTGCACAGGGAACGCCTCCCTCCCAGCAGACGCTGGGCTCAGGGCTGATCCCGCATAGGAAGGGCTGATATTCTGGGGACTAACTGCACGGTGGCTGCAAGAAGTCACCTGTGCAACCCGACTCTGAGTGTTCGTGTGCGTAAATACTGAGAAAACAGATGCAAATGCCCACAGTTTATTTCTGGGCAATAAGATCACAGGTGATTTGTGTCTTTTTCATATTTTCCAGATTTTTAAAAATAAGTATGCCCGTCTTCAATGAACCACTTTATAAAAAGCTGGCATTTCAGAGGTCATGGTTCTGAGGGCACCTAGGCAGAAATCCGCATCGTACAAAGAGCCCGTGAACGCCAGGCTGGCTGAAGTCCTGCGCACGCAGGTGGGTTCCAGCCGCTGTGAAGAAGTGGCAACAAAAACTGTTCTTCAGTAAAGCACCTCCCTGGGAGAGGCTTCCCTGTCTCAAAAGATTTAGCACACGCTTTAAAACGCCTAACCAGCATGGCTTTATGCTTTTATGAGTCAGGTCACAATCGCGAGGCAAGATCGTAGCCCAGGAGGGCTCTGAGCCCTTCACAACGTGGCCTGGGCTCCCCCAGCAGGAATGGTTCTGAACGACTGCTCCTTGCTGTCTCGGGAGGAGTTCTCTGTGATGGAAGCGGAGCTGAGACGAGATCTAGTGTATTTGCAAATAAGGGCTCATATTGTTTTGTTTAACTATAAATTATTAAAGGAAAAGAAAGAAGGTTAATCCTTTCCTAACAGAGAGGTCTTTGGGGGGAAGGTATTGCTTTCTTGAAGTTACTCTCACAAAATATGATGTGTGATTAAATTAAACCCGCACCCAACCTCGGCAGAGCAGAGGACTCTAAGGAAGCAGGAGGTTCTGTGCAGTTAGAGACGTCAGCACATGGAGACTTGGCTGGGGACTGGTGCTGTTTCACACCAAACCAGGTGTTTGCCGGGGAAATCTCACCCGTGGGTTTAGCAAGTAGGCGGATTTCCATAGCAGTAAAGTCACCAGTGTGGACGATGTCACCAGCACCATGAGGAGGTCAACGCTGGGGCTGTTTTCGACGTTCTCACTCCTTCTAATACCCACTGGGGAGAATTTCTGCCTAATCAGTCTACAGTCACACTGTGACTCTCACAGCATACCAGTCATGACCATTGAAGCAGGAAGCCACGGATGCTTCAGCCCCCATCATTTCCGTAAGAGCCCGGTGGGAGGCAGGAGGCTGCGGGAAGTTTTCTCCCCTTCCCCCTTGACAACGAAGCCGCGCCAAACGTGGCTGCAGAGGAACAAGTCACTCCACACGGTGACCTCCCTTCTCCTCGACCCTGCTCAGAGGCCAACAGAAAAGTCACGCCAAGATGACAAGGTCTCTCTTTGTCCAACCAAGCAAGGCTTTGGGTGAGCACCATAAACAAACACATCGAAGCCCAAAAAAGACAGACAGCAAGTAGGGGCGTGTCTCCCTGGCGAGAGGAGTTCTCACCCCCAAGAGCCTTCAGACCCTGAGCAGCAGCTGCTCCCGCCAGATGTGGACGTTCAGGACATAACTGCACTCGCATTTTTACAATAAATAACTCTGGGTACCAACGTTTCCCAGGAGACAAGGGCCTGACTGACAGGAGACCTGGAGAAGGGGGTTCATGCCACAGACGAGGAGGGCCAAGGAGAGCCGGGGGGGGAAAGTCAAAGAAAAGTGAACTTGGAGTCTATTTAAGGAAGAGCTTTCTAACAATCTGTGTTCTCCAAAAATGGAATTGGCTGGCTCCACAGAAGGAGACGTGTTCCAGCAGAGCTGGGTGGCCATCTGTCGGGGCGGGGGAGGGGGCCCAGCACCCAGCGCATGTATGGGCTGGCCGAGCAGGGACCCCCACCCACCCTACTCTGAGAGCCCCGGGGACACAGCGCACTGGGCAGACCGCAGCTCACGCGGAACTGAGCACTAGCCAAAGACGCAGCTCAGAGTTCAGCTGTCTTCTCTGGTTCTAAAAACTGCAGGGGAAAATGCCAAGCTGCTCAGGGAATCTGGAGGCAACTCCGAGCTCCTGCTTTGTCTATTTCACTTCCCACCACTTCAGTCAATTTCTGGGTATTTCATTCTTCACTAGCATCCTGAGAATGTGTTTTTTACAAAGGATAAGAAGGACCAAACATGCCAGCAAAGTTCAGCATCTCCCAAAAACCGTGTTTCATGTGGCCTTCCCCACGTCCGGACACCAGGGAAAAGGAACAGGCAGGCGGGGAGAAAGCCAGGAAGACAGCGAGCTGATGGGGGTGCTCCCAGCAGCCCCCTCCCCACCCCCCAGGCAGTCACAGCATCCCATTGCCGTGAACCCAACCGTCCATGACTCGGGGTACAATGTCACCAACTTAGAAGAGGAAACAAGTCATGGGGTTCAGCCTGCATTCTGCCCTCCCTCCTCTAGACACGAAGGCCAACAGGACAGGATTTCGTTGAGCCAGAAGATCGGACGGAACGACACATGCGGGGCTGTCGACATGCGTGGAGGGGTCATCCCACTGCAGGACCCTCCAGAAAGTCGATGCCAGGAGGCAGAAACGTGCGGGGGTCAAACACACACATGTATCGGCTGACGTAACACTCCAATCTCTAGACACGACAAACCTGCTCTTTCTACACCGGGTCTCCTTATTTTCAGAGATTTTCAAAAAAGACAAGTAGAAAGAGGTCAATATTAAAACAGACCTTTTTTTTTTTTTCTCAAACACAAACTAAAACAATGACCCCTGCACCCCACCCCCGCCCGGGAAAGCACTGGGCGCCCCCCCCCCCAGGACAGTGGTGGTCCTGGCGGCCGACACTCACCGAGCGTGTCCTTGAGGTTCTGGACCAGCGAGCCCTTCTTCAGGCTGTTCTTCCTCTCCACGTAGTTGGACGGCACGTAGCCCGTGCGGTTGGCCGCGTTCCGCACCCGCCACCAGGTCTTGGAGTCGTCCAGCAGCCACAGGCGCTCGTTCTTCCGGATGTCAAGCTCCTGGTCCTGCTGGGCCGTGTAGTCCCACTTGGCTATCACGATGACCTCCTCTGTCATCTTTCATGGAGTCCTCCTGCCGGCAGAACACGCGGACAGGCTCGTCAGAGACCCGGCCGCAGCCCGGCCCCGCGCACCCACCTGGAACATCACACCCTGACGGCTTCCATCACAGCCCGGCGGCTGGCCCTCCTGGGTCCCGGAAGACTCGGTCTTAGGATGACCTTCTTTTAGCACGCGTTAGTGTTCTGCTTAGCAACAGCGACCTTATAAAACAACCCTGAATTTTGTACGGCAGGAGTTCTGCGTGCTCTGCTGTAAACGAACAACAATGAAAAAACTTTCCAAAAAAAAATCTAAGTAACCTGATCATGAGTAACGTGGTCGCTGAAGTAAGCAACACCAGATACTGACAGCCGATACCCTTACAGCCATTTTCTCTGGATAAGCTGGATTTTATGGACATATTTAATGTATATGCCACATCCAAACCATAATGTGGTGTCCCGGATTGGATCCTGATATATGAAAAGAAAATTAGTGAAATCCACGCTTAGTATGCGGGAGGTCCTGAGTTCATTCCCTGGTATCTCTGTTAAATAAATAAATAAGTTAAATAAACCTAATTACCTCCCCCTCCAAAGAAATTAAAAAATAATAAAAAATTAAAAAGAAAAAGAACTGAGCTGTAAAGCCACGAAAAGACACGGAGGACTCTGAATGCACACGGCCGAGTGAAAAAAGCCAATCTGAAAAGGCTGCCGACGGCGTGACGCCCACAAAGCCCGTCTTGCGACCAGACCTCCGTCAGGCTCCCCGGAACGCTCATCGCCCTGAACTCCCGTGTCTGCGTCCGCCTTGCGCAGCCCCAGCATGGATCCTGCTGCCCATCCCCGCCTGCTCTCGGGAAGGGTCCTCTTAGGTCAGCAGGGCCCGGTCCCCTCTGATGGCTCGTGTTCCTCTTAGTGGTTTCCATTCACGGACGGACTTCCCACCTGCTCTGTGGCTGCAAATCCCCACTTCCCCTTCTGCGTGTGGGGGTGAGCCCCACCTCTCTCCCCTACTGCGGAACTCCCTTGTGGTACCACCACCCCCCCCCCGCCCGGCCGAGCACAGTCTGCTTCACTGCTCTTTAACAAGTGTCATTTTTTTCTTTAACAACTCCAGGGACATGACTTTCTGGAAATGGCAAAACTAGGGAGACACTACAAAGGTCAGTGGTGGCCAAGGGCCGGGTGGGGAGAGGAATGATCAGATGGAATGCAAGGATGTTCAGGGCAGTGACACTGCTCTGAATGCTACGCTAACAGTAGACACACGTCATTACACATTTGTCGAGACTCATAAAACGTCCAGCAACGGGAGTGAACCGAAATACAAAATTATTCCAAAATGAATTTTATTAGTGAATTTTATAAATGAAGTTTATTAATACAACCAAAAATACACTATATTACATACCTAGTTAAGTCAGTTCTGAAAGTAATCAATGGCAAAGGTACACGTGAATGACTGACATGAATCTAGTTACGAGCTACTTCAGCAGCTCCGTACATCTCAGGGAGAAGATGGGCCGGTGATGTTTTCAGCAGAAAAATCGAACACTTAGCCCTTTAAATGACTAGATGTTTACTCAAAGCTAGGAAGAAATGAATAATGGAAAGACTCTGGACTAAAATCCCCTTTTCTGACAGAGAGGAGTTCTCATTATTTGCAGGGGTGACTTCAGGATTGCAGAGGGGACACACCGACTCCACAGAAGCATGAACACCATTCTTAAATAACATGACACCTTCCACTCGATGCTAAAGACAGTTATAAATAATGCATGTTCTCCTCTTTTGTGAACGGACTCCCACATTCAGAGACGGCAAACCTTTCGGGAAGGAGGAGATGTTTAACAGACCTTCTGCACGATGTCCACAGCATCCAAGGACAGACTCTCACAAAGCCCATTTCCAACTGCAGAAAACCCCAAGTTCACCCCGTGTCTCACTCTATGCTGACCTTACCGTCCAGTTAGATCTTTGAAAGTCATGAAGGTCGTTTCTTTTTTCAATCATAATGGGAGGGGCCAGAGCAGACACAGGAACGGGGCTCAGAGAATGGTTTACTTGAATACCAGGCTTCTTTCTTAATGACACAGTTTTGAAGAGAGATTTTTAACAAGGACTGCCCACCACTTAAGACCAATCAAAGCAGCTTATTAATTTCCTGCATGACTTAACTGCAGAAAAGCAGGGACATGAGCTGGCCAGGCTGATACGTCTCGGTGTGCATTGACTATCCCATGGGAGATGTCAGTGCCTGGCTCCACCCCGCCCATCATATCAGAGCCTCTAGGAGCATGGCCTGAGCGTCTGCAGTGTCCACAGGCCCCCTCGCAGGTGCACTTCCTGGGCCCGGAGCGTGGGCCGTGGGAAGATGACCGCTCAGTCCAGGGGAGGACTCGAGTGCAGGAGGGCCACTCATTCCATCTCCAAAACACCTGCCTTTCAGGGGAGCGTGAGCTTTCAGGAGACAGGACCACAGAGCTGCAGTGACTTGCAGTGGGGGTGGGGGGCTGGGGCCCAGAGGAGGGTGGGATGGTGGGGGTGCCACTCAGGATGCGGGGTGTGAGCAGGGCAGGCGGGGAGCCAGGGCTGAGCAGGGGGTGGAGTATGACCAGACGCCCCTTAGAACAAGGCTGCAGATGCTCTCCCTCTGCCTCCGTGTCGGTCAGGGACCAGGTGCAGGCCCAGGTGCAGGAAGGGACCCCCCCAGCCCTGCCCACCAGCACCTGGGACACGGACCCCCCTCTGCCTTGTGGGCTGCAGAGGCTGCCGGACGTCCACCTGGAGGGGACCTCGGGTGGGGCCAGGGTGGGGGTTCCACCTCAGGCCTCGGGAAGCTGCCCCAGGAGCCCAGCGGCAGCCGTGACTCTCCAGGAGGAGTACGTCTCTGGGTGTAGGAAGCACTGCAGTGGTTAAGAGACCAGCGCTGAACCAAGATTTCTCCGCAATAAAACCAGACATACAAACTGACTTAAATTCCTAACATGGAAAAGCCCCACCAGAAGAAAGTCTGAAAAAGTATATCCTGACTGACCACTGAAATTTTAAGTCAGAAGTGGGATTCTGATTTAGGCTAAGGTACAGTCATGGAGGGCAGAGCCTAACAACATACATATTCATACCTCCAGCTCGGGCAGCTCAAGAAACCTTTTTTCTGCCTTTGTTGACTAAGCTAGTTCCCACCCAGCTACAGCCAACAGGAAGAAGCACCACAAATTTGGTGTCTTATAACCAGATCACTGTCTTGAGTGTCATGTGACCAGTCTAGACGAGAGCTTAGCAAGAATCCCACGTTACACTGAATAAAAGGAACTCTTAGAAAATCTAACTTGCTAAGCTGCTTTTTAAAGTCTTAGGTGGAAGAAGATTTAAAAAAAAAACCCAACAGACCAGAATAGCTACAAAAACTTTCTTGGCCCCTTAGTTTTCACTAACTCTTAAAATAACATCAGTGCTATTCTGGGACTCTCTTTCTAAAAAGGATTCTGTTCACTGCATCTTGCTGGCTTATGGCTGGGTTACGTGCTCCTCACAATCGTCAGTGTTCCCGTGACACCCAAAAATGGTCACAGATCCTTGCCAACAAGTGCTGGGGACCACATCGAACCACTTGGTCATAACTGTCAACAGAAACCGGGAGTTGAATCTGGGATTCAGTGTGTCCACCTTGGCCTCAGCTTATTCTGTAAAATGGGAACAGCGAGACCTGCCTCGCCCCACGAGATACCGTGGAGAGCGGAGAGCACGGTGTTGAGGACGGCGGGGTCTCGCGTCATACACACGTGGGTGGCAGTCCTGCTGTGCACCTCAGCCCAGCTGCCCTTCCGTCACCTGGGGGAGCGAGCAGGGCACGTCACTTGGGAGCTTGTGAAGAAAGCTGAGCACACTACCCGGCACGGGAGAGACCAAGAACGGGAACTCCGGTCGCCCCGAAAGCCTCCGTGTGCTGCAGAGCGCTTGGGAAGCGCCAGGTGGGCTCGTTCAGGGGCCCTCCCTGCCTCCTGTCAGGATCTAGGAAGCCCCTCCAATGCAGCACCCTTCCAGGGCACCAGGGTTCCCTGGTGACCACGCAGACCCAGGCATAGAAGAGCCTCTGCAGAGAACCCTCCCCTCCCCTCCTTGTCTAAGCATCACTGTCCCAGGTCTCCTCCCCAGAGGTCACTAGGGCACAACCTGCAGCTGGACTTTCAAGAGCATCACTGGAGGTTACCTGTTCGCCCATTTACTGTCCAGGAGGCCCTGCTCTGTGCCCGCAGAGGCTGCTGAGCCTTCAGCCAACCTGTTTAATAGGAAGTTCAAGGAGAGGTGGACTGATGACTCCAGGGTAGTATATAGCCACCTCATTCCCCCTCCTCTGGACTGACCGATCCAGCTGCCACCGAGAAGGACAGGGTCACGCAGCTTTAAAAAGCTGCCAGTCCCACGGTGTGACATAAATCTCATCTGGATGGAATATGGTGGACTAATTTCAATTCAAAATAGAGAGAGATGGTCAGACAGACAAAACAAGGGTAACATTTTACCTCTAGGATATTGACTCGGAATTTCAGAAAAATACCTGTGTGCACGTGTGGCTACACACATACTAAAATACATGTCTGTGAGCAAATGACTGGTTTAAGGGGTAACCAGGTAAGAGAAGAAACTGACTACGTGGGAAAACAAAAAAAGTCACCTTACCTTGATTTTCAACACACAGTCTGAATTACTCCAATAACATGACCTACTTTCAATATGGGTCTTAAGGAATTTTCTCTGTAATATCTCACAGCGTAAGTGCAGTTAACCAATTATTATGGAAACTCGCTCAAAGATGCAGTAGGAGGAATAATAGCCTGGACCCCCAAAGATGCCCACATCCTCCTTCCTACAACCTGTGGCTACGTGGGGTTACGTGGGGGAGTTTAGGGGAGTTAAGTTACTGATTGGCCCATCCTGAGAGAGGACCCTGTGTTGCCTGCGTGGACGCAGTGTGGTCACAGAGCCCCGTGTGAGCAGGGAAGGAGGCAGAGAGTCAGAGGGACCT